CCCCACTTTATTAATAATACATTTTATTAAAAGAGTCACCTATACCGCAAACCTATAACACCTTTTATTCTAGGATTTGAGCCTGAGTTGGTATTGAGATACGTATAAGTTGGCTGATTACAGGAAATCTAGTTCTTGAATGTGTCTGTTGTTGGACGAGGGGAGCTTGGGTATTATAGAAATGTTTTGTTTCGTTCCTTAAGCACTTTTACTGATTTATATTTTTTTTTTTTTTAGAAATTGGGTTTGAGTTAGGTATTAGTGATGTACAATAGTTAACTGGTGGCAGGGGACCCGAGTTCTGTCGTTGGCCAAATGTAAATATATTCGGGTATTAGTAGAAATGTTGCCGTTAAGTGCTGATAGATGTATCCGGGTATTTACAGGGACTAAAGATACGTATTTTCATTTATCTTTAATTTTCAAAATCCAGCTATTTTCTAAAGTATGAAATTGCTATTTTTTTCAGACGTAGTATGTATACTATTTGGATATAAATCAAATTTCGTCTTCAAGTCATTTCTATAGTGAATTTACGACTTAACACTTCATGATACTTCGTTCTTTTGACATCTTTACTGATCTATATTGGAGTTCCGCAAGTGTTGGCATACTATTAAAACATAGTGCCCGTGCTCGTACCTAGCACTACGTTTCAATAGTGTGCTTTGCAGAGCTCTAATCTATATCAATTCTTTCTATAACTGATAACGAACTGACGGTTCTGGGAGAAAAAAGGAAGTTATAGAAAATTATTATATTTTCTTAAGGATCCATGGCACTTTCTATACCGAACTATATGAAGTTTTGAAATTTTGAATTCTTTATATCTGGAGTTCGTTATATAGGGGCTTGTTATGTTGTATGTATATTTTTCAAAGAATTAGGCTTAAGTTGTGTTTCAATGATGCTTATGGGTTGGAAGAGTTCCCAAACGTAAATGGCTTGAGTATTAGTGGTTCTTTTTTGAGCATTTTTACCAATTCATATTAAAAAATATAGCGTTTTAGCAATGATGTAATATATAATTAAATTTTATTTAAATCTATAAATAAAGTAATAATTTTTTTGAATAATAATGATGGTAAAGCTTTTGATTACTGTTGCATAATCAGCATTGATCGCCCAGATTGAAACTTTCTAGCCTTAATTAATTAGTTTGTATTCGTACATGGGTTAATCATTAAGGTAATGCGAGGAGGTTATTACGCGAATAAATCATGCAATTTTTCTGACCTGATTAACGATGATCAAGCATTGATCCCTGATTGAAACCTAATTAATTGGTTTGTATTCGTACATGGGTTTACCGTTAAGGTAAACGCGAGGTTATTTCGCGAATAAACCATGCAATTTTTCTGACCTGATTAATGATGGTCAGCACTGATCGCCCAGGTTAAAACTTTCTAGGCTTAATTAATTAGTTTGTATTCGTACATGGTTTTATCGTTAAGGTAAACGCGAGAAGGTTATTACGCGAATAAATCATGCAATTTTCTGATCTGATTAACAATTATATAACAAATATTGAATGATTATTTACGTGTTTTAAAATAATATAACAAATATTGCATGATTTTCTGATCTGATTATTCGATGACAATATTGCGCAATTTTTCTGATATAAAATTGAAGATATAAATAAAAATCGTAGGATAGCAAAAATTTATATAAATCCTATTTTCGACTTGAATAAAATTCAATTTGAATTAAAGATATACATAGAAGTAAAAATGAATTTAATCATTTTTATATAACCCAAATACATTACGTATTTTATTATTTTTGATCTTTACATCATTTTTGCAATTGCCCTTCGGTATTATTACATTATTACTCAAATTATAAAATCTATACTGCTCCTTGATATTTGTGATTCGCGAAATCCTTTTTTTACTACTAAATTATTAAGTACTTATTCTCAAAACATGAGCGCTGATCAAGAAAAATATCGTGATACTAATTTGGATCTTTCTAGTGATGAATTTGACAAAAATAATGATGATGATTTAGCTTCGTATAACCAAAATAAACAAGACGACTTACAAAATACAACTTTCCTGAGTCAGGTTTCAGTTAAAAAAAAGCGCGATTCAACTGTATGGCTACACTTTGATGAAGATACTGGATCACCTGTTTGTAAAGTGTGTAAGACACCATTTTCAGCAACAAGTGCAACTTCAACATTAAGGCGTCATCTAGAAGATGCACATAATATAGTTGCACCAAAACGAAAGCATAAGCGCTTAGTTATAAACCCCCACTCACAAATCGAACAACACGAACGAGATGATCTAGTTATAAGATGGATTATTTGTGACTTGCAGCCATTTAACGTTGTAGAAGGTGAAGAGTGGCGAGCTATGGTTTCAAAATTTGACCCAAGATATCAATTTCCTAGTAGAAATATGATAAGAGACTATGTAACAGAGCTATTTCAGCAAAAAAAGGAAGAAGTAAAATTAGCATTGCATAAAATCTCTAGTAAAGTAGCATTTACTTCAGACCTATGGACAGCATCAAACGGCATGTCATTTTTAAGCCTTACTATCCATTATGTCGACTTATTTTGGAAATTAAAACACTTTCTTCTTGATATAATCCCGATAAAGGAACGACACACAGGTGCTAATATCGCCAGTACAATAATAGATGTCTTGAATGAATATAGTATATCTGAAAAAACATTAGCCTTAACTACGGATAATGCATCTTCTATGATCTTGTGTGGTACTATTGTAACAGAAGAGCTTGAGAGTTTTAATAATTTTGACTTTTCTCATTATCGTTGTGCAGCTCACGTATTGAACTTAGCGGTTGGTAGTGGATTGGATTTTATTGATGAATCTATAGTTAAAGTACGATCATTGATGTCTTACATCAAGGCATCGCAACCTACAATTAATAATTTAAAAAAATTATGTGAAATAAAAGGTGTCGAGTATTTAGCACCTGAGCTTGATGTTAGACATAGATGGAATTCCACTTATTATATGCTAAATAAGTGGAAAAGAATGGAATCTCCTTTAACCATGCTTGCGGCTGATGAATTAATAGTCCGTCAAAAGTGTCCAGATGAAATCGATCGTGCCAATATTAATGTAACTATTTCTTCTTTTCTTTAAAAAAAAATAAAAATAAAAAAAAAATAAAAAATAAAAAAAAATTAATAAAAATAAATATACTAATACAAATAAAATAATTAAAAATAAGAATACAATATTTCTTTTAGAACCAATTGAATGTGCTACTCGACTTCTTTCTGCATCAAGTTATCCAACACATGATGATATACGATTTGTATTTCTTGGTATCCAGGATCATTTATCACGATATAAAAATAATACCAATTTCTCTCAAAATAAGATGGCAGCCGCGATTTATCAAAAATTAGAGAAGTACTGGCCAATTCTAGATGAAAATTCACAAATTTCAGCATTACTAGACCCGAGAACAAAATTGACAGCATTTAAGGATCTGAGTGAAAAAACAAAGGCAATTAATTTAGTATCAAATCTTCATGGGTATTCTATAACATCAAATCCAACCCCAACTCCTAATGATTTATCATCTACATGGAATTATTTTCGTCAATTACGCATATCTGATTCTTTTCAAGAAAATCAATCAGATTCTTTATTGCCAACAATAAATAGTATACAAAATGAATTAGAAAAATACTTAGCCTTAAGTTTGGAGAATGAAGTGGATCCATTGCTTTGGTGGCAAGAAAAACAACGTGAATATCCAAGACTAAGTTTAATTGCTAAGGATTATCTATGTATCCAAGCAACAAGCATAGCCTCAGAACAGGCTTTTTCAATTGCCGGCCAAACAATTACAGCATCAAGAAATAGGTTAGACGGAGAAGTTGCAAGAGCGGTGTTATGCTTAAAGAGTTGGATTCAAGAAAAAATAAGCAATTAATTTTTTTTTAGTTAAACGAATTGTTAAAAGTAGATAGTATAGGTAAATTGGAGTAATTACAATTTCATTTATTTGTATTCATTACAACATAATATATAGTCTTTATCTCTCTTTATAATGAACTGAAGATTCTGAAAAAAAAAAGTTCATTATATGAATTTTCAGAATTTTGAGTTCGTTATATTCAGAGTTTGTTATATACAGAGTCGACTGTATATTACCTTTACCTTTAAATAAATAAAGATAATATTAGTATTATATCTATAAGTTAACCCTTTAAAAAAAATTGCAATTACAGTTAACTTTCTCTAAGCGCAAGTAACCCCTCTTTCTTCTTAATAGTTTTTAAATGCATATTGCTGAAAGTCACGTTCTACTTAATGCACTTCGAAAAAAGTTAATTGTATATATTTAGAGAATACTATTCTAAATTGTAAAACTATTTAGCTATTTCGTTGTTTGTGCACTTACGGTCTTTTGCATTTCAATGCCGCCACAAGTTTATCTTATATTTTTTATAACCTAGGTTGATCAAAAGCTTTAATACAATTATTATTTCGTATAGGTAATTATGCTTGATCAAAAGCTTTATGCTAGATCCGTGAAACATACTATTTCTTACCGCTACAATTTTTTTTTTAAGTTCATAAAAATTGACCAATCATATAAAAGGACCGTTTTGGGACCGATCTCGGACCGAGACTGAGACTATAAACAATATGTAATCGGTCCTGATAGGACCGGGACGGACCGGACCAGACCGGTGCATCCCTAATTATAGCTTTTGTATATGCTGTAATTTAATTTTATATGCCGTAACTTGCTGTAATTAAAAACTTTCTATTGCCATTATACAGTAAATTTTTTGAAAATCCATATTACTGTTACAGCTTGCGCAATTATACATTTATAGAAAAGTATGCACTAAATATATTATGTGAAAAAAACAATACTGTTATAAAATGAATCTAAGCGAATGCATTTATTATTCTAATTATTTATTCATTACTTTCTTCATTAAAAATCCGAGCCACTAAATTTGCTGTATTATAATTAAGATTTCCCAATCCAAGTCATTGTGTATTATTATTTGATACCATACTTTGACTTTTGATAAATGAATTGTTATTGCCTACAAAGGCTAGATTTGAAAGATCAATCACTTCATTGATTAGCAAATTAGTATCATTTACTTCATCTAATTGCATATTGCAATATCCGGAAATAGGTTCAAATGAGTCAGAAGATTTTTCTGATTGTTCAACAAATTCCATTTGGCTAGTATTGACAGTCGATTCATTTACACTATCTCTTAAATCACATTCCAATAGTTCCTTTTCATAAAAAGATAATTCATTTTTAATATTAGTATAACAAAATACACAAATTTTTGCTATTGCTTCCAAGCGAAAAATATTAAGCCTTGTTCATCGATCACCAAATATACATTTTAATGTAGAAAAGTTTCGCTCATATACGGCTTGAGATGGTGGAATAGAAAAAATTTTAATGGCTAGCTCAGCCAATAAGTCTTTTTGAGCATCAATACTTAACTACATTTTAGTGCTGATTCTTTTTCTTTATTAAATGTTTGGGTATACAGTTTTTCTCTG